AACCGAAGTTAATGCTTATTAAAATAGGCACAAGTGAGGCAGAGAAGACGAAGGCACCTTTTAAGGAAAATGCGGTCTGCGCATAAGGCGGCGGAATGATTGCCAACATATAATGGGGAGGACGAGGTGGACGCACCAAGGACGCCTCAAGGAATCAAACGGATGCCCAGAGGACGCACTACGTTGCCACATTGACTACATTGCAGTTGTTCAGCAAGGCAACACTCAGGTAGGCGTAGAAAAACGTTACGCAGAAGAATTCGCTCTCCGACATCATCGTCACATTACCGCAATGTCGACTCGGGTCCACTTCCTCCTCGTTCTACCACTTGTACACAGGCCATCTGCCTATCGAGAGTACGAAAGATGTGAAAAACTTCTAGCAGCCCAGATTAAGCATTTCTCCAGCTGCCCTTTAAGTGGGGTATGTCCTCGAGATAATTCCTCACGTCTCCACCTCCCCTTTACATCCACTCAAACATAGAGGTTCATTTCACGTTGAAATGTGAGGCCGTCTGGCGAATCAACGAGATTATGTTCACTGAAATGGCACTTGGTCTTGTCTTTGACTAAACAAAAGGAGGAGAATGGTGAAACACTTGGATTTGTAGCTTTTTAATCACACATTATGTTGAATTCACAAATTGGACATTATCTTTAAGTAAATTACGCCAGACAGTAGCAAATCTACACTTCTAATCTGATGAGCACGTAACTATACACCCTATCCCGCATTTTTCCAATCCTATTTATAAACCATCACCTTCGACTTCCCATTGTATCATCTCATTTTCTCCTTTGTCTCTTCCATCATTTCTTGCCACCCTCACCTCAACCCATCACTTATACCTGCAACAAGGTTCAGGAAGGCTTGTTAAGTGTAGCCACTGATTAAGAAGAGGCAATTCGTTCTGTGTGTCATCGTTTGCTAGATTTGCCTCATTTTGTCTATGCTCACTCTGCTCATCAGCTCCTCAGGTCTCACACAACCCAGCTTGTCCACAAGGCCCCACATCTCCCCATCACTCGCGTCCAGCGTGCTCCAGTGATTGCACGTTGTCAGTCATGCGAATTTCAAGTCGTCTTCGAGTCGACGATCGATGAGCCAGGCACATCGCAGTTGTGACATTCCGGTGACGTGGTGA